ACACCAAAAGGCATATCATAACGGTGTCGCTCTACTCAGAAAATACGAAAAACTATACACAGACTCCCCTTAAAAGGCTGAAATCTGAAATAAACAATTTCAATATGTCTTCTCGAAACCAAGCAATATATCACATGACCAATTTCAGTAAGAATTAAATTTGCCTCAAAATAACTACTCGGTCTAGAACAATTTCAATACTAATGAAGTTGTTTGAAAATTACTAAAAAGGCTGCAGGATCTGATAATATAAAACCAACATTTCTAAAAGAAATGCGCATATCCACACATTATCATTATTTAATCTTTCAGTAGCAACTGTTGCTATACCATCGGGCTGGAAAGTGGCCCATATATCATCAATTTATAAAAAAGGAACCAATTACAACCCAGAAAATTACAGGCCCATCTCTCTTACTCGTATAGACAATAAACTCTTAGAGCATATAGTTGTAACATCATGTCACATGCTGATCGCAGTAACATCATGTCACATGCTGATCGTAGTAACATCATGTCACATGCTGATCGTAGTAACATGTCACATACTGATCGTAGTAACATCCTCTACCCCTTCCAACACGCACGATCATGCGAAACACGGCTATTAGAAGTCATTGCAGATGCCACTAAAAAAATGAAAACCACAAGCAGACAGATGTCCTCATTTAAGATTTCTCGAATGTCTTCGATTCGATTAAGTCAGACTGTTTGCTGACAATACGGTTGTATACAACGTAGGTACAACGTAGGGCTGCTCGGCTTGTCATTAACAGATACAAAACACATCCAGTGTTTGTGATATGCTTGACGACCTAAATTGGTCCAGAAATGACAAATTGTATAATGTTGTTTATGTTGAATGTGTACTTTCCTGTTGGCATTCACATTGACAATGAATGCCAGCTGAAAGGAGTTCATGATCATTTTAAAATATGTAAATCTCATGTCAGAGAATATATTGATTTATTTGAATTCAGCATTAAGTTCAATTAAGTACATGTATAGTGTATGGTTGTTTACCATAACACCTATCTTCTAGGAAAGGTCAGAGATGACCTACGTAACAGTTATAACAACAAGAATGCTGACGTCAACAATTAGGACTTGACATCTATAGTTTTGGTAGGGTTTTACAGTGTCGATGTCCTACAGTAGTAAATATCTGACATAAAATAACTTCGCTGAGTTACTAGTGTATTGATGTTATGTTCTAGGCACACAAGACGTTCGTCCTATCCGAATATTCAACCTGCAAATGGAAATATTCTGAGATGTATAGATAATACCAGTCAAAATGGCTTATAGCTGGGGTATGTGTAAGAGATATCTTGAATAAATACACACACGTATATATATAGAGAGAGAAATATGTTTAAATATTTACTATTTAAGTCCTCTATGACACCACACACCGATGGTTTACTCCCTATATAGTTTTAAACACATGTAGTTTGACCTCAGTTGGTCTGCAACGACGAACATAAATACTTTGGATGCATGAAACACAATCAAGATATCTGCATTTGTCGGAAATAAATCAGCTTCATAAAACTGTTATACAATGATATAGTTCAATGGCCATTGACTAAAATGCATTCTTATAGAACATGATATGCAATAATTAAAAAACAATAAAATAAACTCTTAGAGCATATAGTAGTAACATCATGTCACATGCTAATCCTAGTAACGTCCTCTACCCCTTCAAACACGCACGATCATGCGAAGCACAGCTATTAGAATGCATTACAGATGTCACTAAAGAAATTGAAAACCACAAGCAGACATATATCCTCATTTAAGATTTCTCGAATGTCTTCGATTCGATTAAGTCAGCCATAACCTGTTAATACATAAACTCAATCACTACAGGATCAAGAGGAAAGTCAATACATGCATAAAAAAACTTCTCGACAAATAGGACACAGGCAACCACACTGGAAGGCGAACTATCTCCATATGTACCAGTCAACGCAGGTGTCCCCCAGGGGTCAGTTACCACTCCTAGTCTGGTTTTGTATTATATAAATGACATGTCCCTTGGTCTCCCCTCCTCGGTCAGACTGTTTGCTGACAATACGATTGTATACAACGTAGGTACAACGTAGGGCTGCTCGGCTTGTCATTAACAGACACAAAACACATCCAGTGTTTGTGATATGCCTGACGACCTAAATTGGTCCAGCCTCGCTGACAGCTTAAGGATACCCGCCTAACCATGGCATACAAAATGATTTCAAACATTGTGGTCATTACAAAAGAAAAGTATCTGACAAAACTGTTGCGACAGACACGATACACTCACTCTTTCTTCTATCACATTCCACATTGTAGAACAGACTGCCGCAAATACTCTTTTTCCCCAGAACTGTCCCAGACTGGAACAACCTCCCCCCAGACCTAGTATCATCTGTAACTAGGGAAACCTTTAGAAGTCGTCGCTCCTTTCTACACTATTAGCTAAGTTACCACTCTCGTTTCATGTACATCAACACAACTCAAACATTAACATGATCTTTAATATGATGAAGTAGGTCGATTTACAGGTAAAAGTAGAAGTGGAAGGTTGAAAACTTGTCGCATTTGCAACGTCGATCTTGAATGTGTTAGCTGTCCCGATAATGTCCAGAAAAGAGAGGTTGTCTTTGCAACGCAATATGCACTTCAGAACAGTTAGTTTTCATATTTGCGGTTATTTCTAACAGATCCATTTCGTACGGAAAATAATGTGTTCAGAGACCCTAAACTTCTTTCCTGTAATTGATTTCTACAAATCAAATATATGACGACAAATAACTGCACCTTGTCTTATGCCCAGACTAGTGAATCTCAGGATATCAATAGGTCAAATCTATATATGGTATCCAATGAAATTGTTGTATACTAGAAATTCTCCAATGAAAAGTTTCCATAGTGGCATGAGTGACCAATGAAATTTGGCTTACACATAACCCCCCTAGAACTATTCTAGGCTGTTGCCTTTCATACCACAGCTAATCCTGACCTACCAGCATTTTCAAACATTTTCGAAGAAACATGTCCTGATTTGTCTGCTCTTAATTCTCCATACTAGCATATCATGTTTCAAGTAACTCTCAACAATAACACTTCATCTAAAATATGTCCTTAAAGCGGGAGATATGAATTCCACGAATTTGCTTGTTTCTTGTATATTTATCAAAGGAAATGTGCAAGAAGAAGAACGAGTAAAAGTTTTTTTCGTACTGTTTCAAACCATCTGTTTACAGGATGCCATTTAGAAAACCATACATACTTCGTGCGCTGTCAACGGCAAAGTTGATGTTCTTATCGAGGAGGAACGATAAAAGCAACGTCTTATTGATATGAAGAGAGAACACTGGTATGAAGTTTAGAGTGCATGTTTTGGTATCAGAAAATACGTGTTTCCAATCTCAGACTGTCCGCATAGCACCATCAGAGAAAGAACAGCCCTATTATATACTAGAGGACGTGGCAACAGACACACTGCCGATGTCATCTGCTGGAACTTCAGTCAGGGCTCCGCCTATCCAGGCACTTCAACTAGAACGGTATAATACGGCATCGGTGGAAAGTCGTTCATGACTGGAATAAAAGAGGTATATATGTCATTGAAGACGGGACGTCATAAATGTGATGTTTCTAACGGAGAACTACTGGGCAGGGTTCTTTGATTCTGTTCATTTGTAAATATAAGTATATTTTCTGGTAAGTAAATGACATGTCTGAGGTACTCAAATTCACAAAATAATAAATGATACGCGAATTTGCAAACAGACGTATATGCTACGTTCGCAGGTAATACTGACTTACACTGTCATCATTGATAGTCTTGTAAACTGCTGACAATACGAACGGCTTCTTGAGAATGATTTTCTACAGAAATAATGAAATATGGCAAATACACAAACATAAAGTTAGTGCATGTATTCTACATGTATGTGGTACATGGTTCTTGGGATCCGATGTTGGTAATGGACGTAACTGTAACAATGACGGCATATGCTCAGCGCAGAGCAACCAACCAAGAAAGTCATGTATTACATGACTTCTTACACAGCAAACATAACAAACTTTTCCGGAGTACGAGTTGTCTACCTTTAATTTATACGTGTCAACTGGAGGTTGTTTGATGTGCATTTTGGTTTTGAAGTTTTATTCTCATGCTCACCTTCCTGTGTGTTCTGAATATCTCATCACCAAATTACTTTTCAATGAACTAAATATTTTAAGAATTTTACATTTTGGCTGATCACAAATTGTCTAAAATAGTTTTTTTTTATCAAATTCTATACACTTCATGTGTTTTAACAACTACGTCAATTTGCAAACAAAAAAATTGGCAATGGTGAACAGCTTTCATAAAATATGAATCGGCAATACTGAACAGGTGTAATTAATAAAAACGTAAACACTAATTATTCATGATGTAAAAATTAGCAATAATAACCAGGTTGTAAAACTAGCAGTCTACAACGGAAAAAATATTAACAACTGAAAAGTTTTTACAACAACAACAAAATAAGCAATCACACACGGTGGTTTTTTTTAAGTAGCAAAACTGAACATATGTAATTCAGTGGCAGTCCGCATGCACTTGTAAAAAATTGACTTATCTAGACCGTTCGGTGGCCTTTTTGTGACTGAACGCATCATTTTATAACTATCAAGTTTATCATTTAACCTTTAAATACTAATTAGTTGTCGAATCACATACCAGTTCGACCGAGTTAACATTTGGCACGGTCCCTTCTTTAGTTTGACAATGGTTCCAGAATGATCTAAACGCTGTAGAATCGCTAGCAATTTAAAACGATATCTTTCGAAATCTTACCCGTATACGAACACGATTTGTTCATATAAATGGAACCGACACACGTATTTGGTTACGGGCTTTGTTTTAAATCATCACGTGGTCTTTTTATAATCTTCCGGATAAATTAAAATGTTTTGATCAGTAAATAGCGATCTTTCGCGAACAGCTTGGTCTTGGATTGTATTGAGTTTAGCTGCTTTCCTCCACAAAAACAAACGGAAAAATTAAGCACAAATTTGATCTCATTTAGATGGGTTTTTTTTCATACTGTGTAAGAACGATGAAAACTGGTAACTAGTGGTTCAGTGTGTAGATTCAGTGTGGTTGGTTTTCTCCGGGGGTTCCAAGATGGCGGGACCTACGGACAAACAGGAGGACACTCTGAGTATAGGAGACGCAGTGTGTTTCTTTACTACCGAGTGCTATGGGTTTATGTACTCGGAACAAACAAGGTAAGAATAAAAATTTCTTGTTTTTAGAAATAAATTTCTGTACGGGAGATACGAAAAATATCAACCTTTCCATCTCAAACCAGTAATTGCGTCGCAGAACGTAACGATTCTACGTACCTGATTTAAAAAAATATTTTTTTTTACATAATGTTATATGCTACCTAGATTTATCAAACGATACACTTGTGATGTGTATAAGAGTTAAGGTTTTATATTACTTTTTACATTTAATGTACGTTTTGTGTTTGAGTTAGGGCAGTATGCTACCCGAGGATTGTTTTAAAAGTCATCTTCCTATTATTTGCGCTGTAATCCCAATATATGAACTAAATAAGCTTTGTTTTTTGGTTATAACGCGTCCGTTTCATTTTCTGGTATATATGCAGTTGGCATTCGTGTCGCCTATGAACCGCATATGAAAGCAGTTTAATGCTTACATTAATGTTTAGTTATCATTACCCAGTCATTGATTTACTCGAATCAAGCGGCATCTTTATCTTGTTCATTTAAATGTCCTAAAAATTAATCAATTCGGTTTCTGACAGTTAAACTCTTTTAGGAATATTTCAATAGAAACACATATGTACACAATCTGTAATATTTTCAACATATAAATATTGCAGATATAATTTTGATGTTTTTTACTCTCTCTAATTCATTTATTCCTTCTTCTGTAAATGAATACCGCAAATCACCTTTTAATTTTCAAAAGGGGATGCATAATGTATATGATGTTAATGATATATATTTGATATTTTATTAATTTCAAATTACCAAATAAAAACAAATTTCATTTATACAGAATGGAGGGTGACATTTTTAGCTATCATATTTTAATGAATAGTAATATAGCTCTATTCAATTTATACACAAACAAAAAAATAATGCTGAGGAACCCGTAAGTGAACAAACACGAGGGAGACAAGAGGCAACCCGCTCCATAATGTCAGAAAATCATAGCGTTTTAATTTCCTCCAATGATAACATGGTAAAAATTAAAAATCCAGCGTGATTAAAAAGGAATTGCCGATGCCGATCATATCGATGCAATTTTTAACACAGAAGTTATAGATGTCCTAAAATTGGAACCTAGCCCCCTTGCAACAATGTATCATAATATTTGGGAGAAAATGTGTATTGAGGCGTACACTTAAAGAACACAAAAAAAACAGAATCTCTGTTATTTCTTCAAAGTATGTTTTAAAATATCATTAAAAAAAATATCATATCAATTTTGTCACACAAAGTTTTATGAGAATATATTGTCTTTTAAATCAAGTTTACCTCAGACTATGACGCACGTTTATCAGGGGCGTTTCTATGATATTTGAAAGAGGGGGCGGAGAATAAAATCTTCTAAAAAAAAATTGGACCTTTTTGTTGCTAAAAAACATAAAATAATTGTGAAATGCACTAATGTAACGGTTCCTGATTTGGAGCATGTATATTTTATAGTTAAAGTGTCAGGATTTGACATTTTTTTGTGTGCCGAATTCTCTCCATTAATTGTCTATGGTATATTAAAATGATTGGATGGATCTTAACAGCAGTAGACCAATAACGAGAAATTCCAAATTCTAGGGTATAAGGCGTTACTTAACATTTCAATAGTCCGGATGGGGGAATCAGTATAAAAAGAAATTGTTTTGATTGGTATTTGGTTATAATTCAGTTCTCTTTGCCTAAAATTTACCGTGTGGTCAGTTTGGAAATAATCCCGCCAAGAGATTTGGAACTTTTTTGAGAATTCCAACCGAGAGGTCATAGTCACTCAGAGGCTTAAGCTTGCATAATAGAACGACCGCGGCCAAGCGCAGGAATGCATCGTAGGAGGCGCAGCATCTGTAACCGTGAGAAAGATATGATTTCAATCAACAGCGTTGATGGATCAGAAGGGACGGAATGGGCAATCATTTGGGTCATGAACCCACCTAGCTGCTCGTTTTTCGGAAACAGCTGTGTTCCTTCGCCTGACGCCCCCATGCCGTGCCTTCAAAATACCTGGATCAACAAAAGATAACAAAAATGTTAGATGCGTTTACAAAAATACAGCTCATCTTTGTTTACCGCTTTCCTTAATGTCGCAGGATTTATTGATTGATCTAGTGGTTTTACGTCCGCTTCCTAGGCCTAGGCCTAAACAGGCTTATTACATCTCTGGAATAGAGTAAAAAAAATCCAATTTGATAAAGTGAGGATTTTGATTTTCAATGAATAACTTTTCGTATCCAATCCCTCTGAGTATCTTAAATAAATTTTAACAAAGACATATATCATATGATGATTATCGTACATTTAAAGCAACGAATGTTTTAGCAAATGTTGTTATATGGTCCTATAACACACATTGCTATTGATGACAAACTTAACATGTAAGTTTGTCAGCAATAGAAATGTGTGTTATATAGCACCATAACAATATTTGCTAAAATATTCATTATCTATAGTTACCTTTTGATAGAGTAGTTGGGCTAATTTATTTAGTTATTTCGAACAGCAAATTAAGTCTTGACAACAATGAAATTGATGACGTCACAATACTGTCAATAGAGATTGATGACGTCACAATTCCGTCTGCGTATTGCAGAGTTATCTTCTCTTGTGAGCAGGTATAGATTGTTACGTAATTGGTTTGTGTGAGAAAATTACGTTGTTTTCTCAAAAATTGATGACGTTACTCACAAACCAATGACGTAACAATCAATACCTGCTCACAAGAGAAGATAACTCTGCATTACGCAAAGACGGAATAGGAAATGTTGTTACAATCTCGTAACAACATTTGCCTTCTCAATGCATTGCAGCGGAAGGATGCAGAGCAAATGTAAATATTGAAAAGTACAGTTACCAGCATGCAGGTACTAATGTTATTTTATGTAACTCCGTCTAATTGTCTGGACAATATATATAAGTTTCAACCGGGTAATAAATATTTTATATACATGAATTACTGTTCAGTTGATTATTATTGTTACATACTGTGTTCATTTAGACAAATTAACGGTGGAATTGAATGAACAAGGAGAACAAAATACTGAAACATCAGACACATATAGTCTAGGTGGCCATTATATATATATAGTGTTACGCTTGAAAAATTCTACTGGGTGGCCCTTTCTTTTCATTGGTTTCTAATCTTCAACACATTAAGTTTGGTGATTTTCCTAAAGCAAAGATTGTCTTTTATAAATGAGTTATTTAATTTGTATTATTGCAATTTTTATCTTTTCAGTTCCATTTTTAACCAGTTAGCTGTCGGTGTACGCCAAGATAAAGTCCGGCCTAATATTCAGAACCAGCATAGTATGTATTTAAAAAAATTAAAAATGTATACTTTAAAAGTTGAAATTATTGCAGTATGGATTTTTTTTTTATTCATGTCCAGTAAATTAGTACTAAAATACAACTCGTGAATATAAATGTTATCAGATAACAGATTTAAGATTCAGAAGCATCTCTCCAATGTGAACATTTCCACACTTCAGGCAGTTTTAAGAGTAATAATGTGAACATTTTCATATACAAGAATTTCCACTTTTGAAGTAACTAAAAAAAAAAAAATTCAAAGTCAGTCTAATTTAAGCCAGTTAATAAAAATATATCTGCTATAACCCTTGTGTCGATATAACGATACTATTACTTTGTTTCATCAGAGCAATTGCTTAATTGTTTTAGTCTTTAAAAATCATGAGTTTGTCATCTCGAGATATAAGTACAAAATGGTACAATCAAAAGTCCGTATCCTAGGGATCGATGCTAACGTTTTCCGTCTGTATCAAAAACCGAAGTTGTAATTTGTAGAAAGTGTATCACTTAGAAAACAACCCAGAATTCAGTCTGCTATGTGTGGGTCAAATGACAAAAGGAGAAACCCCAAAATGATCTGATGCTGCTTTCGAGGCTAAATATCAAATTACCACAGACTTTTTCTACTTGTATTATTACTTGCCATAAATATGAATAAAAGCTAAAAATTGCCGTCACTTTCATAACATGATAGAACTGGTAGTGTTAATGACTTCGGTTCTACATTGTGATATCGGACACATAATGTTTGAGATTTCTGATGGGTATCAGTTGAGCTGCTCTTTGATGTTTTTTTTACATTTGATAGAATTTTATTTCAGTACAGAAGTCCTGTTGATATGATGTACCCTGGCTTAAAAATGTACTTACAATACTCATTTATTTATTTTTGCTCAGTTTAACTGTCGAATACAGACTGTTTCCCCTAGCTATAAAGTGCCTTATTTTCCCAAAATGACCAAAAACTGAGGAATATTTTCCCAATTCCAATGCGAATAATGCTTTATTTTCCCATTTCACAAAGGAACAGGCTGTTGTAAAATTAAGGTGACAAAACCACTGATACTTAATTATAAGTTGTAGATTGGAAAACAAGCTGAATTGATGTCCGTCTCTTCATTTCAGTGATAACGTTTGAGATATGTGTTGCCAATCGCTACAAACTCAACAAACAGTTTAAGAAACAGACGTCCAAGCTTGCTGAAGATCCAGAAAATCTGGCACTGAGGGCAAGTGTAGCACAGTCCAAGGTAATCATTTCGAGTTATTTACATATTGCTGTACTCTGTACAGGCCTGTGTCTTTGTCATCGGCCCTGATGGTTCTTTTATTTTGTTAATTGAAGTTGATATATACATATTGTACAAACGTTTTAAAGTTGAAATCTAATTCTGAATACCAGAGTACAATTTCATAACCTTCAAGAGGTATATATATAATACATATATTTTCATTTCTATTGGGGGAAAAAAATCATTTGGCATTTCTACAGAAAGGCAATAAATGCGTGGCTCCAAAATTGACTTTATGACAAATAACATTTCTGCATCAGCTCTGTTAGACCTAAGACTAGATGTGATTTCTACTACAGCTTGCTGCCACTGCGGAAACCGAAGACAATGCAATGGAACAAAGGCGACAACAGGGCAGGAAAGTCTTGTATGGCCAGATTGTACAGGTATGTTTCTTAGAGAGTTCATGTATGGTTTCCTAGATTGTACAAGGTAGGTTTCCTAGAGTGTACAAGGTAGGTTTCCTAGATTGTACAAGGTAGGTTTCCTAGATTGTACAGGTAGGTTTCCAAGTTTGTACAGGTAGGTTTCCTAGATTGTACAGGTAGGTTTACTAGATTGTACAGGTATGTTTCCTAGATTGTACAGGTAGGTTTCCAAGTTTGTACAGGTAGGTTTCCTAGATTGTACAGGTAGGTTTCCTAGATTGTACATGTGGGCTTCCTAGATTGATAAGGGCTTAATGTTATGTTGTCCTTTGGTATGGAATTTTGTACACAAAACCAAATTTGGCACATTGTTTGTCTCCACATCACAATTCCTTCTTTGGTTGTTGTCTTGGAAATTTTCAGAAAATCTTAATTGAAGATGAAATATTTATGATGTATTGGACCATAAATGAAATGTTGAAATGATGTAGAAAGTAATTAGTGACACCAAACTATACGTATCCCAGGTTGGATCCTGATGCTACAGAATTGAAAGGAATGGTAAACTCTTGTCCTAATTACATTTCTTGCTTGAACACTTTTAAGATGAAACTTTTTATTTCAGACCATGTAATATCAGTCTTCAGAAAGATGAGAGCTACTTCAGATCAATGTTTCAATAAAGTGTATTTCGCTTTCCCTGCCCTACCCAGATGTTACATGTAGTGCTTATAATACCACAGCATACTATTTGGTTCGCTTTAACCAACCAAAGTTGAGGTCTGAAATGCTATCTATATAATCTGGGTAAAAGAAAGTTTTGCATTACAAAAGTAGCTATATATGTTTTGGGGAGCTGAAAGCAGAAACAGCAGCTAACGTCTAATTTGTTTGGTTTGATATGATTCTATTTTATAGTAAAGGTGATAGTCTCAACATCACATCTGTTGAAAATAATGTCCGTTCCTTTTATATTTAGTTCCCACTGAAATTTATTGAACCTATAGAAACGCCCCCAACCCCACCCACATCCTCGATCCATGCCTCACAAGGTAAACTTAAACAAAATATAATATTTATGAATTGATACTGATGGTAGTCAGATTGCAAAAATAGCAGATTTACAATGTATCTTATTAAGTGTTAAATTTCCAGTCTTAAAATTTTTAAAAGTCTGTTTGACTTTTGATAACATGTGGATGACCTACATTATATATACGTAACTTACAAGTTCTGAGCGCACTGCATGCACACGAATGTGAGGTCAGAAATATTTAACAGATGGTTATCTTATAAAGGGCTGTTAACAATGTACACGGAGATGTTATATTGTGACAACAAGCTTAATTAGTCAGGCCTCTTACCCCCACAATCTGTTGTGTTGTGACTAAATATACGACTAGTCATCAGTCTATTTCATGACTCTGTCCTTCGAATCTATCAATCACCTTTATATATGATGAATTCTTTGGCGAGGTTTTTTAAGCGATTTTTTTTTCTAATTAAAAGTTCCCTTAAGTATTTGGAAATCATACATTGATGTCTGTATTAATTAGTATATCACAGATTGAATGATTTCTGAAAGGCACATTATTGACTAAGACTAAATAAAATAGATCAGTTACATTATAGACTAAGATCTGTAATTTTTGACTAAACAGTCTAAGGTCGCCATTCATTGAATATCTACCTGAAATTTGAAGAAAATATATACTACATTGTATTCAGATATTGATTCATTGTCATAATCAATAAAGAACATATATATATAAGTGTTTAACTGTATTCTGTCGGAAGATAGTTGCAGACAGATTACCAGTTCAATATGTCCGCAGTCTTCTTCAGTATTATATATAGTACTTTAACTGACTAGAGTGAAATTCAATGTTGAAACATATATGGTGTATGGATCGTACAGTAAATGTATTTCAAGTTAATTCTCTGAATATTTGATTATGCAGAGTTGATATAGTTTGGAGTTGGCTTATGTCATTGCGTTTTAACCAGTTTAGTGTAATGTAAAAGGTTTTGAAAGAGTTCCAGGTTGGAACTTTTAACTTCAAAGTGAGTGTACTCGCTGTAAAATCTCCGCTGTTTGATGACATTGTCTTTCATAATTGATTATTTTAATTAGGACATGGTTTTTTATTTGGTTCTTCGCCAACTACATAGGTATTTGTCCTGTGTGCATGAGTCAAGTGACAATTCCTCAGCACCGACCGATATTCCAGCCAGGAGATATTGATTAACTAGTTAAATTAATTTCAGATACTTTATTTTTCATTGCTTTCTTATAAGGTTAAAAATATTAAAAACAACAGCATTTTTCTACGGAATTACCATAAAACTGCCTAAAATTGGTTTGGCCCTTTTCCCAAATGAGTTAAACCAGGGACGTATAATGGATATATATACTGTCCCTGGTTAAACTGTTTCCCCAATATCATGAAGAACAAATAAAGTATAAATGGAATGAGACAATTTTACAGACGCAGAGCAGGAGATGCCCTTGCGAATGAAGTTTAATATAATTGTTCCTGTACTTATGAGTACTTTCTATGATCAATGTCTACCATATAGATACTAAGTGGATTACTGTAAAACTGTTCAGTTTAAGGTATATCATTTGGTATGCACACTATCATCAAAAGTTGACTGCCCCACATAGCAATTCTGATGTTTGTTTCTGAAAATTACAAGGTTTGCACAACTTTATATCAAAGTTTGTGATTCAATAAAGATAATGAAATACTTCTGTAAGAATTATACCCTATATAAATTTTTAACTTCTTTTTCAAATAAACAAAAAAGTTTATATTTTCAATCTTCGAATTTTTCTAGCTCTATACATGTACAGTTTTGAATAGATTTCATTTTCTACCTTACAACCAAAAAGAGTTTCAAATTACCTGAGTGTATCATTTTAATGAGATTCTGCTATCTGTCCTTATTTATCAGTATCATTGTGAAGCTTTTAAATAATCTGCTTTTAACTGATGGTAGCAGATGTTGAAGTTAAAACACAATTTATGGTAAAACTGATATGTTTGTTTCATGAACTCTAGTAGAATTCTATATGAATTATAAAACATCAAATGTGATTTTGTCCTTATTCATAATCAAATTATTTAATAAGGACAAACAAAATTATTTATATGTTTAGGGTTACATGCAAAAATAAAAAGAATGTAGGTATATTGTAGGTAGACAGTCATTTTAATTTTCTACAAAGTTTTTTATATTAATTTGTCAATAAAACATAATTCCTGATCTTACCAGTGCTCGGCTTAACATTTGCATTATAATTATAATCTTTAGGATTGGCGTTAAAAGTCGGGGTAAGAACCTTTAGGGGTTTTACTTGTATTCGTATACTGTTGTTTCACAAGAAATTGAACAAAATTAACTCATTCACCCCTGAAATTTCATAATGCACTATTCCAACCTATGATTTGGAAGAGTTCAAATGTGTGTCTACAGGGGTGAATGAATTAAGGACTGTCGGACACAGCATTGGAATGACAGCTGTGCTGTGTGATTAACCTGAGACTGTGGTGTTACTGACTGGAAGTATACTACATGAATAGGATGTGTAGGGCATGAAGGTTCCTCTCTGATGCCCCTTGTATGTTCATTGACATGTTCTTGATATCGTTATACCAAGAAGGAACAAAGGCCATGACCTAGCTCCTGGTGCCATTAAGCAAGACTGTTCCACATTTCGACCAATGTCATTGAATCGGTTAATAAACCATCGATGTTACAGCTTTCAAGTTTCTAATTCAGAACCTCAGTTTAAATATTGAACAAACTAAATTCTATACATTTTATCAGTGACTCGGTTAGTCATGTCCCTAAAAACAGATAACACTCGGAGTTTGCTTAGAGGCCTATTCCACAGAACAATAAATACAATTTGTTTCTCGGCTGTAATTTCCCAGCATTTTATGTAGTAGCTAGGTTCACAAGGTTTAAACATGCCATTACGCGGAAGGGTAAAGGTGTGTCAGTCACAATAAAACTTACATTTTCCAATCCACTAATTTATAGGGAAAATTGGTTTCAGGGCTATTAGTAAAATCCTTGCCTTTCATTAGGCAGGTTTAATCAAACCTCATGTGATATTAACACCTATCGGTGTACCAGTAAGTGTTACAGATCATAGATGTAAGTAAGCCATGTAACCTACAGTTTCCACTCTACTGATCATGATCAGCAAATATAACAGATTTCTGGGAGAACATTTCAGTCTGTAATACATCTTCTAGTAGTGAAGTTCAACATCATACAACCTAATTCGGTCTTGGCCACCTTTATTTTCTGCACTAATCTAACAGCAGTGGGTGGTTGGATGGCGAAGGGGATAACCACTCGCCTTTCACCAAGGCGACCGGGGTCTGATTCCCCGATTGGATGTGAAAAGGTATAGGGTCACCTGCCCGACCACGTGGGTTTTCTCCGGTAGTCTGCATTCCTCCCACATTAAGACCCCCTGCATGCTTACATCCGGGCCAACAAGAGTGATTAATATCAGTTGGAATATTTAACTTGTTTCATAATATCAGTTTGGAAATATGTTATATCAAAGTTTCACTTTATACACAAACAATGTACATATTAAATGCGTCGCAACATTTCAAGACCGACTGGTCCCTTTGTCAAGCTATGACTGAGTGAACGATTTGTATTTTTTACCTGTACAACGATGTGACGAAATTGTATATTTCATATGTCACTCAACTGGGACGTTTCGCCAATGGATATAAAGAGTGTATACACACTGTGTCAGATAGGTTACTGGTAGGGTGTAGATCTAGCCCCCTCTCCCATATTGTTTTAAAATTGTTATAAAGTCAATAAAATTTAGATATATTTGTGCAATTATATAATTAACACATACATGCAGAATGAGGGCATTATTATTTAGTTATTTTCACTCCTTTTTAATGCATCTTGTGTCCTATATAAAGACTGATGTAGTGATCGAGCTTTCAGCTTTTCATACAAAACATTTAAGAAAAACACCAGGCGGTTGAGGTAGTATGTTTTTAAGTTTGGTCATGTTTTCATCTGTACATATGATCATGGTTTGCTAAAATAAAGTTGTTGACAAAGCATAATCACTGTAGCAAGTAGTTAATATATCACTAGAAAAAAAGACAGAAACATCTAGCTTTTATCCTATGAACATCCTCCAGACTTGCATGGTTCTAAAGATGGCGTATCCACAATTGATTTCAACAGTTGTAGATAGACTAGGATATGCCATAAAGTTCCAGAAAAGAAAGACAAACTTTAAAATATTACCCCCGTACATTCCTTTTAAATTTTAATGTCAGTGACTTTTTTTCCAAATATTCTAAAGGTTGTTTTATCTGGAATTTCTGAAATAGCTTTTATCTGAAATTTCTGAAATAGCTTTCAGAACTGATCAATATGATAAAACAATGTCTACCAAAATATAGTTTCCAAATATTGTACCACTGGAACTCAAAACTGTTACACAAAAGATATACAGGAGAGGTGGCGTGTTCCTCAGTGCCCTGCATGAGTTAACCATAAATTTCCCTACTGCTCTGTCATAATATTTACATGTACCTATGGCAGGTAACAATACCTCAATATCAGGGCTATTGAGGCAAAATCACGACGCTATTGCGAAACATGGGGTGACTACATGTATTCTCACAGGGCGGCAGTGGCTTGGAAAGATGATATAATTGATATACATGTGATATATATAGGTACAGCTGGGATTATTATGTCAGCTGTTCATTATGTTACTGGGTAGAATTTATAAATAACTTATAGACTTATGTACATTGCACTGAATCTTCCATGTTTATTCAGTGAAAAAAAAAATGGCAAATATCCTCTTAAAAAGTTTTAATTTTGAGCAGAATTTATTCTTGAATTTACTTAAATTTTTCCCCTTTATAATAAAAATAAATAAATGAAAAGTTAACACAGGTCTATATGTGATAACATGGTGCAAATTAATAATCCTGAAACATTGGAGATGGCAATTTAATAAAACTAATGTTTAATGTTAAGTGCCAGGTGTTGTCTGTTGACAGTTGAATATTGCCATGTGTTGTTTGTGGACAGTTGAATATTGCCAGGTGTTGTCTGTTGACAGTTGAATATATTGCCAGGTGTTGTCTGTTGACAGTTGAATATTGCCAGGTGTTGTCTGTTGACAGATGAAGATTTCCTAGTTTAATATTCAGTTGCCTAGTGTGTTCTGTTAGGGTTGAATATTGCCTAGCAAGAATGACTATAGCAGACGTAACCTGCTGATAATTAGTTAATCGTGAAGTTGTGTCCTAATTGTATAATAATGCTCAGTTTTATGATAATGCTCTGTTTTATAATGATGCTCTGTTTTATAATGATGCTCAGTTTTATAATGATGCTCAGTTTTATAATAATGCTCAGTTTTATAATAATGCTCTGTTTTATAATAATTCTCTGTTTTATAATGATGCTCTGTTTTAGAATGATGCTCAGTTTTATAATGATGCTCAGTTTTATAACAATGCTCTGTTGACAGTTGAGTTGAATACCAGGATGTTTTACTGACATGAATTTCATCTGGTGTTTTCACTTTTTGTTGAATAATGCAGATAGTGTTCTGTTCACAAATAATGCCAGGTGTTGTGTGTTGATATTTGAGTTGAAAGCCAATGTGTGTATTGACATCAGCTATGTAAGTTATTGATTACCTACATTTGATTTGTTGAAAAATACTTTTTTTTTTTTTTTTTCAGTTGCGTCATGTATTCAGTGGTAAATACATCCACGTCAGTACGACGAAGACGTCAGACACGGAAAGCAGCAACATGGCGGTAAGTATAAAACACTACATATAACAAGACTGCTCATATAGAGGAGGCATGGTAGTCTAATGGTAGGACGCCGGGCTTGTGACCGAAGGGTTGTGGGTCATGGCACTAGTACTGTGTTGTATCTTTGAGCAAGATACTTTACTCCGCTTGTTCCAGTCTACTCAGCTGTAAATGAGTACTAGGTTGGGCAGTGCTAGAATTGTAGAATGCTCGCTGTGAGTGCCGAAATGGCAGCACCGACTGTATGCTACCCAGGGAGTTGAGAAAGATATTGGCTGGTTGCAAAGGCCCTATAATCACGGATAATAATTTGTGAACCGCTTTGAGCTGCCCTACGAACTAGGTTGTGATAAAGCGGTATATTATAAAAGAATCTCAAATTATTATTATAGACAGTATGTTTATCTTGTGATCAGTCCAGGTTGCCTGTTGTTAGCCAGGAGTATAATATACACTTTGGCTTATTTCTGACTTCCATTCCAACATTAAAGGGAAAAGTCATTTTTGAGAGATTTCCAATCTGTGTCAGTTAAGTTCTGTCAAAAGTGAGCAATGGTTTTTATCCCAAGCAAGAATGACATCACTGGTACAGTGGCTGTTGTTGTTGATATAGAGATTACTGACATGGTAAGAACTGTATTCATCTCCAAATTTGTAAGTTGTTAATCTTTGTACACTCAGCCTCCATTAATCTGGTTGTCCCATGTAGACTCCGGATCCGCTTCTTCTGCTTGGAGCAGAGGTGGCTGGCCCCATGCAGTTTGACGGACATTCCTTAACTTCAGGAAATTCCTTAACATTAGATTTTCATTGGAAAGCATAGCTGCAGGTATTCAGGAAATCCTTAACTGAAGATTATTCAATAATTACTAATTCCTATGAAAAAACCCTGAAGTAAAAGCAAATTTCTGAATTAAGGAACATAGACTTAATAAGGATGAGGATCATTAACTAAAGGATTCATTGTAGATCATTGCTTCGATTGAACTGTAAATCTCTACAGCTCAAACCTTAGCTTGCTGATCTCAGAAAATGATAATCACTGTCTTTTTCCAAGAGGTTTGTTAGCTCCGTCATGGCTAAATACTACATATCCCATAAACAAAATCTTTAACAGGTTGGTTTATCTCTCTCATTTGTCTGGCTTTAAACTTCAAGCTTAAATCGTATTAAATTTAAATATTTTTTATTCCAAATGCTTTTAAACTGAAATGTGACTCTATTGTGCTATGTGTACACACTTTGGATCTAGATCTTGATTCTGACAAGCATTTAGATTTTAGGTCATTTAGAACATATTGATTTGGGATTGTTCTAATAATTGTCCCTTATTTATAAATACCAGTCACCATGAATGTAGCACCAGTTCCTACAAACCAGCATTGTACTAATTAAACACAAAATTTTGTTAATCAGTTCAGTATAAAAGTTGAACTTGTCGATGGATGACGTACCATGTATCCAAAAAATCAGAAAAAATAAATGTATCATTGCACTTTTCAGTATCATATGCAGCTTTTTAGGCATTTTTATTTTCGTAAATTATTAACGGAATTTCACAAGAAGATGAATATTTTGTATCAATTAACACGACAAGTTAATGATCTTGAAGTAGTTGATTCTATGTTGAGCGAAGTATTTACAAGGGAAAATAACAGTGAGCAATTTTTTTAAGTGCGCACTAGTGTAACGACACAGGTATAGTACCGCAGGAGGTCATCCATGTGTATTGACAAAAAATACCAGTTGTTAGTCAGGGCACGAATGTCTAGTTAGGTCAAGATAACATCACAATGCGGGCTATAGACACACCGACCAGGTACAACATGTACAAGAGATTCTATCGGTGGGTAATTGGCACATTGAATGTAAATCATGAAGAACTTTTGGCATTGTATAACATTTTCTGAGGCCAAGCAACGTAACTGTTTATTGGGTTAGTTAAAAGTCCTAAAAAAGTCTAAGTTGAACACTAATTAATGTAATCATTTCATACTTATTTGGTGAGATACTCCAATTCTTTCACTTCGGTTTATGGAAATAAAATAAATTTGCTTAAATTTAATAAATTCACTAAGAACAGCTTACACTAGGGCTTCTTACAGTAGTATTTTGTCAAATAGGGGTCATTAATATTGTCACTTGTCAATTTTGGAGTTTGACATTTGGTTTCGCCACAATGAAAAAAATCCAGATAATTAGTCCGTCAAAATTTGTATTTGTATAATATATAATACATATTGTCAGTTTTACTTTTATTTGGCACAAAATTTAAAAAGCAACAAACCTCATGTAGAGTTGCTAGCTAGCTAGGTAGTTAGACATTCTAACTAGTGGTGACTGGATAAACAGCTAGGGCTATCTGTGTATATATACATACATATTATATTTCTATATATTAATTATATTTGGCCTGATATTTGGTAACTAAAACAGTTGTACACTAACAAGTCCTGTGTTGGTTATTAAGGTCAGTTATTGTATTCGGTACATATATATATGTCAGTGTTAATGGTCCTGGGAGAAGCTTATAAAACCAGTTTGTAATGATCATCTGTTATCATCTCATTGAACACATTGTTATCTTTTACACTACAGGATCAAAATATTTCATGATGTTATTCTCTCCATATAGACTAATTAATTTTTATTAGAACATTGATAATGGTTTGGTCATTGTTGATTTAATTTCTGCTTGTAGAAAAGTATCAGGGGCATTTATAACCCTTTCACCACTGTAGATCATAATGGACTCATCCAGATCAATGTATGGTAGAGTCTATTAAAGTTACAGAGAGGTTGAAAGTATTAAATATTTTCAGATTGCCAATCATAGAGTTTCTGTATGTTAATTTTTTATGTAATAATTGGTAACTATAAACACATTGTCTTAAGTAGTTTTATAACTTAACTTTATTTCAATATTTAATGGTAGCTTTATTTCATTTTCTAAATTAATTTTAGATAAAGCTAGGTGTTAAGTACATGTAATTAATCAAAATCAAGAAGGACCAATTGGCTTAAGCTTTGAGCTATTTTTTAATATCCATACTGTGTCTTCCCTAAAAGGTAACAAATTTCAAAATTCCACAACTGGCTGGCACAATATAGATATTAAACATGTAACATGAATGAAAAGTATTGGTATACAGTTTGTCAGTGTAGTAAATAAAAATTAAACAAAAAACATTCAAAATAAGAAAAAGAACAAAATTCATAAATTTGTTGACAGAATTATCAAAAATCTGTCAATTCGTAATGAAATATAAATCTGTCATTATTTCGAAATTTTCTTCTTGGTATATGTTAATGAAGCCAAAAATATCCTGATTTTTGGGATACCAGGTACGTCATCCATCGACATGCTTTCAACTTATTCTACTGAATTGATTAACCAAATTTCACCAAAGGACTATATTTAGCTGGCCATGGTTTGGGCCTGTTTTGGCCCCCAAATGCATCAAAATTCAAAACCTTAAAATGAACTTTGAAATGACTGTTTCTTTAATTTCGATTATTTCCCAAATACTATTATGAAAATATTTATTTATATTTCTAATTATTGTTGCCATGGTAACAAGTTCAAATTTGCATATATTAGAATTCAGTGAATATTTTGATATTTTGCATGGTTTTTCTCCTAGAAACTATAGAGTGCATGCTTGAACAAACTTAATATCAAAGGATAATGTGAAGGCACCTGTAATACATCTTTAGGAGAAATATAAAGTTTGTTCAAGAGTGCGCTCTATGGTAGCTAAGAGAAAAACTAGGTGAAAACCGGTCAAAATTGACTGAATAATCAAATTTCAATAATTTATGCAAATACCATGGCAGCCAAAATTGAAAACACAAATAAATGTTTACATAATAGTACACGGGAAGTATTAAAAATTAAAGAAACAGTCATTTGAAAGTTCTATTGCAGATTTTTAATTTTGATGGATTTGGGGGCCAAAAAAGGCCCAAACCATACAATTACATTGTACTATTCCTTTAACTGGAACATCCAAAGGTACCACCTAGTTGGGTGAATTGTTCAAGAGACGTCCCACCAGTCGTATGCCAGCTCCTAGTACCCTTATCAGGTTTAATAATAAAAACAGCTGTTAGATATCAAGTATATATAAGTGGATGCAAGAAATACACAAATGAAAGGGCTGACCCCATTGAGGCAAGAGGGGCAGTACAGAAAAAGGGTAATAACTATTGAGATCCTGACTCTATAACCATATCTGCTTGCTGATCAGGCAGACTAATGCTAAAGATATTGGGTTCAAACAGTAAATGTTTACCCGAGATATTGAATCTGTACGTAAGCTTAAGTTTTGTACTGGCATTTGGTTTGAAGTACAGCAGCCCTTACAGAGTAATCTCTCGTTTTTACATCAAGCAAAACAGGAAGGAACTTGGTTAAAACCTAGGAGAACATTAATTTCCAGGATTTCATCAACTCAGATATTTTCGTATACATTTACAAACTTATATTCCAGGTGGAACTTATTGGAGTCAATGCAAAGCATGCCCAGTTCCGTATCATGCCCCGCTACAAGGTCAAGGCTGAAGGGGACACTGTAAGTAGCGTACATTATCTGTATCACCAGTGGTTTCATAGATATAATTATTATAATTAGGTATCCATCTCTTCTCCTTTACTCAAAAATATACTTTTTATCTCATAAAGAAATTGATTGATTAATAAATGTGAAGTTGTAAAGATAACCAGTGCTTGTTGAACATATCTTTATGACGTATATTTTGGTGTGTTACCCACAGGTCCAAGTGGAGGACCAGATCATGTTTGAGAGTGTTAAGTCTGCTGGATCCTTCCTCCACGTCAGCAAGCACCTGTTTCCTAGTCTATCCGTCTATCACGAAAGGTACGGCAGTCACCTGTAGACAGCTAATGTAATAGGAGTACCATAGGTTGACGTTTAATTTTGTGTTTAGTTGACAAAAGTAGCCTTGTTTTCATTTCATATTCAATAACTTAAAATTAGCATGAAAGCAGGGGATTTTATTCTGTGTTTCTTTTACTGTATAACAGGAAATGTTCGTGGGTACTTTCCTTCGTGGTTTGAAGCCATTTAGATAGTTTCGTGGTACAAACTTTCATGGATATCCTATATTTACAAACAGTAGACACACATATCATTCAGATTCATTGTATTTATTTTCGTGTTTCAATAGAAACCACGAAAACCACGAATGTTTATACACAACGGACATTTCATGTTATACAGTATTCCTCCTGCTTTAACCTGGTATTTCTGGATGTGATCTAGCAGATCTTTACTATCGTAACAGATGGTAAGATTGTTATTATAGGATTTAATGAGAATTACTTAATGGGGCTTCTCCTTTATATGAGTGCACCCCTAAAGTAGATCTACATGTGGAATTTAGTGCTAATTTACAGAGATGTCCTTCACCTTTGATTAATATGGTGTCTGTTTAACAAGGGGTGGGCTTATTAGTGAGCGTGAGTTTATCGCTAGTAAATAGTGCATGTGTTTATAATGTTATAATTGTCTAACTGTTTGACAGTCACGAGATGAACCTGTCGGTCCAGACGACCGGGTTTGTGGTGTACCGTAAATACAAACCCATGGTGGAGGAGGAGGAAAAACTCAAGGTTAGTGAGTTCATTATAACCTCTGTAACCTGTGTAAACTGATTCCTGTGTTATAGGAAAACCTGTGAAAACCAGACTTTCTGCATTGTCCCAAAATATGTCTGTTCTGAATAAATTCATTGATGTCAATAGTGTAATATTTAGGCGTGTTATACATGGTATTTGTTTTATGATTTCTCACTGTAGTGAAATGCAGGTGTCAGGAAATCATGTTGGACAGCGCAGAGTTATAAACTTGAATTGGATGAGTTGAAAATGCGCATTTCAAAATGAAGTCAAGTTTGCCAATGAGACCCTATTTATGTCTTTGAATTAACACTTTCAGCTCCAGTGCCCTCTTCTGGTAAGTGCCTCGTGGCCAGCAGCCCCTAAGTAATTGGGTCAAGGTCATGTGTCAATTTTACATAGGCTGTATAATATATGTATTGATGACATCATTGCCGGACAAGATTATTCCAGGTCAGACAGTCTGTGACCGGTAGATTTGTGTAGATATATGTATACTTGCTCGATGGCCAGTGATAAAATGAAATTTAAACAACACATTTACCATTAAATATTAACATGATAATAAAAACATCATTACTTCTGTTAAATGAAACTATTAACTTAAACGCTGCATCCTCTCATGAGAATTTAAATAATAATTATATATATGAGATTTATTCTGAGAGTCTAAGAATTTAGCAAGCCTCTGGCGAGCTAAAATGGAAAATTTGTGATGAGTTTCAAAAATTGCATTTGAAATGAAAACGAGTGGAACATCGTTTTTTTTTCACATAATCAAGATTTGTGGCATTTATTCGTGTAAAACGACAATTTTCATGCAACCTTGAAATGTAAAAAGCCGCCATTTTGACTCCAGTGCGCAAGCCTGTGACGTCCTGTACTTGTCCCAGGCGTGACGTCACAATTCAAACAATTGAAACGTACAACCAATCGCAGGGCTGATTGGTCATATTACATTGATAAATAACACAGTACATTATGTGATAAATAATGATAATATAAAATGTTCACAAAAAAACCCACTCACCATATATATATGGGCCAGTGCTTTTGAAAATATTGTTCTAACCCTGTATTGTAGAATTGGAGCAATTTGCTGTTTGGTATAATTCATATATAAGGGCAAAAATAATATGTTCCACCAAATTACTTAGTGTCGCTTTGAAAACACATGGAGTGCCTGAATAATTGTAGGAGAGCCAATGAAATGAATATTGATATAAATATTAATAGCTTATGACAGCTTCATCTATGGAATCCTAACTAGTTCATCAGCTATACTAATGAAAATGTCATTTTAAACAAATTAGAATTATATGTAGTTCATGATCTGGTTTCACATATCTTTCTGGTCATTTTAAGTTAAAACAATGATAAACATGAATTTTCTTTGTTAGTTTCTAAATATGACATGCACAACCTAGTTTGATCGATTTCTCATAAATCAGTCTGAGAATACATAGCCATCGCCATTGATTGTGACCTTGACTCATCAGTGTCCTGGGGTTGCTGGCACATGGAGGTTTTAACGTGGGCAGGGTGTCAGCTGGGTGACGGCATATATCTTTACAATATATATATATATATATATATATAGAGTTGAAATGGTGCTGATCAAATTAACATATTTCTTTAGCTTTTTTATGCATTTTCTAATAAATTATAAAAAAAATGACATAACATCTCACCTCACTTTTTGTAAACATAGATTTACTATATGAAAACATATATTGGTGAATTGTAAATATGAAGGCCATGTAAGACACCTTTCACAGTGAGATATAACATGGCCACACATTGTTGAAGTTAGATTGGATTACATACACCATTTCTTTGTCAAAATCCAAGTCACCTGCTAAATAAAGAATCTGATTTCTAACTGATAACTTGGAGAAATATTATGTGGTTTGATATAACTATCCTGGGACATTACAAACAGTCCATGCGAAATGCAAGTTTTCTTACCGGACATTCGGTCAGGCAACTATCGCAAGCTTGCCGGACCGGAACAACTTTTACAAGACATTTGGTCAGGTTAGCTTGAAATACTTATTACTGCGAAGAAACCAAAAAATAAACTTACAAAAATTGTTTGATGTGTATAACAAATAAATGAAAACGTTAACTAGATTCGGTTTTGGCAGTGGTTTGCCAGGTTTTGCCCAGTCACGTAACGAAGCAATTTATTCTTCAGTCAATCAATGTCATTAAAGGTTACCGCAGTGCTTGACAGCACTGAATATTACAGGGGTATTTAAAAAGCTTGACTCAAGACGACTCTTAGGTAGAAAACGTATGCTGGACAGTTGGTCCGGAATTTCAAAAGTGATTGCCTGACCGGCAGTAATTTTTACCAGGCATGTCCGTCAGACCAGCATATTTCGCATGGACTGACATTATGTGAGGATATTTGAACCGTTTTCCAAAAGTGCCCGGACAGTTTCCCTCTAGATTCTTCTCCTTGTACAGATTGTTGCTTTGTGATAACATAAAATTGTTATGTTATATATACATTTTGTATTATAAACTTACCAAATGGATGTCAAATGCAAATCATATGTGCTTGAATGGCCATAAAAGGGAACGAGTTAAGATATGATAACAGTAGACAACATCCACCTGTTACATTTGTTATGGCTGTGTTGGACAGATTGGAGAACCTGTGCGCTTCTTCCACAAGGAGATGGAGGCTTATCTTGTAGCAGAGGGATTGTTTAATGAGGAAATTCAGGAGGACGGTAAGCAGATGAGATCCAGTTTGTATTTTCTTATATGCAAATCAGTGTTTTAGAGTATGGTTTTTAATTTCAATTAATAGAATATTATTATTTAATTAAGATATTCCAAAATTAGTGATAATAAATAATGAGGAGAGAATTCAGTTAAATCTTATGGTATATGGATCTTACTGTCGAGCAGTTAGCAATGTTCGTTGTGCTCGATCAATTATAATGAGCAGAACCAGATCTTTATAATAACCCAAGAATAAGGGTGGCATTGGTATTTGTAGTCCACTTGCGTGTACGTCCGATGGACCAGACGATTCCTAAGACGATGTTCCCCAGTACAGCTTCCATCACCTACTGGCAGATAGAGCTGCAGGACGGACCTGTGAAAGGTAAGTGATGTCTGCATGTCCACTGATGAGGAGGAAATATATAGCAAAGAAACACATGTTCGTTCTGTCAATCCTGCAGTTCTGTGGGGATTTCGATTAATCCTATGAATTTGTCCAAGACATTTTTGACAATTGTTCAACCTTGAAACCTATAGTTATATTGAAGCCTGATGAAATTTTTGATTTACAAAAATGCATTATTTTTTTACCGACAATGATATGGTATTCATAACACTGATATTCTGTGTCGTACAGGTGGCATTCTGAAGTGGGAGCAGCCTGTCAAGATTGTACACATGTGTAGTCGGAAGTATCTGGCTGTGGACAAAGAAACGAACGAACTCACTGTGTGCCCTTCCCACACTGATCCCCGCACAGTGTTCAAACTACATGCTGTCTTCAAGGTAGGTCTTCAATGTATGGAAAAAGTCATACATGTAGTCCCATAGCCCATTATATATAACTTGTAGTCCAATTGTCCCAGAATAAGTTGTAGTCCCATAGCTTCAAGTGAAGTCGTAGTCCAATAGCCCAAGAATTAGTCGTAGTCCAATAGCCCAAGAATTAGTCGTAGTCCCATAGCCCCAGAATAAGTTGTAATCCCATAGCCCCAGAATAAGTTGTAATCCCATAGCCCCAGAATTAGTTGTAATCCCATAGCCCCAGAATAACAGGCATTATGTTTTTGTTTTGATGCCTTGATAAATAAATAATGAACAGGTGGTCTATACTATAATGCTTTATACAACACAAGATTTCACTGTATCTTTGGGGAATTTTAAATTACTTCTTACCACTAAAATAAATGCATTTACAGTAAGTGTTCCCTTTAAAAGGAATTCTCAATTCTAGCATTAGTTGGAGTTGATGCTAATGTGCTGTTGATGTTCTAAATTCGTTTTATATACATTTTGTAGACAGAACAAAGTGTCATGAAAGACAGTTACTGTAGGATCCAACATGTGTCCACTGGCTTCTGGCTGCATAGCTTTACAGGTAAATAGTTCCCAGAGTTCTGTATGTGTGTGGCTTTACAGGTAAATAGTTCCCAGAGTTCTTT